GCTTGGCTGCTAATTCCAGAAGTTTCTACGGGGGAGGGGAGCACCCACTGCGGAGCCTTTGCCGCAGCGCCGGGCAGGCGTGGTCCCTGCCGCCGGGGGAGGAGGAGGAGGAGGAGGATGCAAGGGATGCACCACCTCTCCCTGCCTTCCCTCCCCGGCTAACAGCCTCTTTCCAAGACTCTCACCCTTGCTAGATTCACCCTTGCTAGATTTCCCCATCCTTGAAGAGGGTGCTGGGAGGTGTTTGCAAGGGTTTGTTTTTTTTTTTTAAATCTTTTTTTTTTCCTCCCCTTTTGCTAAATAAATTAAAAGCAGAGATATTTCCTGATGGAGATGGATGAGGCTGGGCTCGCAGCAATGGGGTTGCTCGCTCGCACGCACTGCTGCAGCCTTGATCTGGCGTAGCGAGGGTACCGATGGCAGAAGTGACCTTTCCCAGGCAGTGGGAGGGAGGCTTTTCCCCCGCCCTGACATGCTCCCGCTTGGAATTCATTTTTAAATAGCAGGGCTATTATTTTTTATTTTCTTTCCCCCTTCCCCTTAAAGAACAGCTTGCTCTTTCAGTGATTTTTTTTTTTCTTGGCAGCCTGTGGGTTGAAGCTTCCTCATGATCTTTTTTTTGTGTGTGTGTGTGTGTTTTGAATTGTGTTTTAAAATTGCCCAGCTGGAGACAAGTCTTGATTAGAGCTGGAACAATAGCTCCATTTTATTAATAATGGGAAGGATTTACAATCCTACAGCACCTTCCTTGGAAGGCTTTCAAAATCATTTGCAAACACAAATTTAAGATTTCACATCCCTTGTCTGTGAGGTGGGTAAGTATTTTCATGGTGCCACCACCAAAAATCACATTGGTGGCAAATCTGGATTTCTGAGTGCTTTAAAAAATGACAGATTTGGTGGGTTCTAGGGCTGCAAAGCAAAGCTGGGAAGGGGGGGATGTTGGTAAGTGTGCCTGGCCGTAACCTAAATCTGTTCAGTGCTCTCTGTAGATGCAGAGTATTTTGCTACGTCCTGGGAACTGGGCTGTTACTTCTCTGCCTGCTCCATGCAGATGACCCTTCCTTCTTGCTCTTTGCCAGAGTGAAGCTGTGGACTTGCCTGCTTGTCAGTAAACATCTGCTTATAGATTTTTTTTTTTTTAATTCATTACCTTTTTGTAGTCCCCAAGTGACCTCCTTTAGTGCTGGCTCCGCTGTGGTTGGACCACAGCTTTGCATTAAAGCAGGCTTGCTAGCGCTAATGTGTCTCCCTGCGAGCCGGAATGACCTTGCTTGAGGGACTGGGCCCACCGAGCTAATGCAGATGCTCCGCTTCGATTACAGAACCCTGCACGCCGCTTTTTCCCAGCACATCCCTTCCCTGACCCAGGTAGCGCAGGGGCATGTTGCAATATTATGGGTGAAAGCTGTCTTCTGCCTTACTTTTTTTCCTTTTTTTTTTTTTTCCCTCCTTCCCAGGGAAATACAGGATTGTTTGTGTAACCCCTCTCCACAGCAGATACCTTCTTTGTAAGTATTGTAAACACGCAGCGATCTAAGAGCTGTCCGGGCAGTCGGATCTGGCCTTGCCGAGGAGCGTAAGGCACAGTGCTCTGGTTGTGTAAGGGTGTGTTGTACACGGGCCACAGAAACCCACAATGTTTCTGTGGTTACTCCTGTCTGGATAGCATGAGTAGGTCCCAGGGCTTCCCCTTCCCACCGCTTACTATTTCGCAAAAGCAAAGGCTGGTGCTTCTGGAAAAAGCTCTGCCTTGTGGCCTTAAAAAAAAAAAGAATAAAAACTGCTGTGGATTAGTCATCCTTATTTTTAAAGGAAGCTGTGTTTGCCAGTCCTATCTGTATAATGCATGTGCGTGTGAGATATTAACTATTAGCTTTATTTGCAAAGGCTGGTAATGTGCTCTGGTCGCTGCTCTTTGGAGCAGTGCCACCGAGGCTCCGTCGAGCTGCTGCTGGCAGGTGGAAAAACAGTCCAGCTTTTTGTACCCTTCCCTCCATTTTCCTTTTTCAGTGCTGGTATCTCTGCATTGGCAGGTGTGGAAATGTAGAGACCGTAACGACAGTAAGCAAGGACAGATGAGCTGTCTTCTGGGGTCACTTCCAACTCCAGAGAAGAAACCCTGGTGATTAATTTTTTTTTTTTCTTGCCTGTGGTAGCTTTTACTCTAAGCTCCACTGTATCTTGTGGGAAGACTGAGTTTGACCCTTTTGGATGCTAAAAATGGTACTGTTTTTAAACCTTAGTGTTTTTTTCCCTTCGCTGCGGTCACGTAGAAGAGCAAGCCGTGCAATTAAAATGGTATGGCAAAGGACAGCTCCCTCCCCCTTTCCCCTTTCAAAAAAACCTTCCAGAGTTGTGTGCTCTTGAACTGCTGCATAGGCAGAAAACATACAATGCAGTTGTCAGCATTGTGCTGATGTGTGGCACATTTAAAAAAAAAAAATACTCACAAAAGGGGTGGGGAGAACGGTTGCCTCCAGAGAGTAAAACTGTGGGGCCCCTTTCCCTACAAGTGAACAGATCTACATGCGGTAGTATATTATTCCTAATTTTGCTCAGGCAAAGGCAATGGGCTAACGTCGGAGGGAACGTTGCAACGTCCTGAATTGCATTGGTGAAGATCAGGGTCCCCTTGAACTGTTTTTTTTTTTTTCTGTGAATTTGCTCCCGCGAGATGCTGCCGTTTTATTACTTGATTCCTCAAAGTTGTGCTCGCTCACCGGGAAGAAGGAAAACGCTTCCTTACTGGGTGCAATTTCTTTTGTTGTGTTGCAAAAGGTAATAAAAAGCACCTGGTGCCGGTCTCTCCTAGGTCACACATGACTTCAAGGCGCAGAGTCCCGGCAGTCATTAGCACGCAAGGAGTGTTAGGTATCGGCGCCTTCTCGTTAGCCTCCCTTAATGAGAATATTGGCATCGGTGTCGCATGAATGCCTCTGGCTGACCGGCGGAGAGGCCCTGCCCTGCTAAGCTGGAGCAACACCTTAAGAGAAACGCCGTGATTTCACTGCCAGTGAGGCAGTCTGGTTGCTGCAGTGATTTGTAGCACGGCTATGACTTTATGCTTTTCTGGCAAAAATTTAGCGGAGGGTAAGTATGAGGTGTCCGGGCCAGATTTCATACCGTGCTCCCTGCGGTGGAGAGCTGGGGAAAGTTGGTGTGTGGTGTACGTGAAAATTGTCAATAGCTCCTGTGCCTGAAGCCTCGTCTGTACTTGAAATAAACCAGCGTGGACAGGGATATTAATTTTATTCTCTCGTTAGGGATATGTTGGTTTGGAGATATGCCTCGTGCTCATCAGAGGCCTTTGCTGGCATAGACATATGGTGGACGAAGAAGCTGGCTGTTTGGGACGTTTCCATGTTTTTCAGGTTGGCACACCCTGTGGGACTCGGAATTGCTTTTCTTTGGCAGTTTAGGATAAACGAGTGAGAATTACCTTGGGAGTGCTGAACTTTTACCACCCTCTGCTTTGGACTGAAGAGTTATTAGAACTACATCCATGAGGTTTCCAAGCTAAACAAAACCTGAATTTCCGGTGCCAAAAAGCAAGCGAGCGATAGAAACCTCCGCTCCTCCTCCATAATGGCGGAAACCGCAATCTTTCAAGCTTTCCTTTTATCCCAAAGAGTTAAAAAGCTGCATCGTGAGGTCTGCAGAGGTAAAATGAAAGCCAAAGCTCGCCGAGAAACCGGTCTCCTGTGCTGTATTGCTGGAGAGGTTTTCGAGCGCAGCAGGTCTCGATGCGCAAGTATTTTTCTTTTGTGCTTTCCTCTGAAGTGAAAGAGCAATGACCGTGCAAACGTGCTCCGTTTAAAACACGGTCAAGTTGTTTCGGTATCAAAATGGTGTTTGGCGAAACAAAAGCTCTGACGGTGGCTGGCTCAGTGTTTATTTTGGGGGTGCCAATCAATCTGATGGGGAATGTGGGGAAGAGCAGCCTTTAGGTCACAGGTTTGGACTGTGGGTTTTGTGTTAAACCCTTGTCCTGCAACATCTCCAGCGTAATTTCTGTGATTTTTCCTGGGCATTGCACGCGGGACCTTTACGTAGAGGCCATACAGCAACTGGGTGTTAAAAATGGCAAAGTACAGGTGATCTATGCAGTCCTAGGGGATTTATATCCTTTGCAGTTGTCATGTTTGGGTATCAAATCACGTGGGGCTGGCTTTTTTGGGTTTGGTTTTCTTTGTTTTTCCCCTAAAATGTAATATTTTGCAGCCTGGAAGACTGAAGTCCTCTCTGTCTAGCTGGTGAAATGCCCCGTGTTTGGGAAGAACCCTTGTGAGGTGAGCAGGTACAGCTCTTCGGTATGTGGTCGCACAGAAGTGGGGGGGCAAGGGGAGGCAGGGCAGAAGCCGGCACTGCGATATTTTTCCCAACAACAGGCAAAAAAATAGGTATTAGTTCTAATACATCTACTATACAGCGACCAAGAGTAAGCTCTTTTGCAGTCTTGTGACGGCACATGGTGTTTTGGTTGCGTGGCTCAGCAATCGCACTGTGCTCTGCTGCTGAAGAAATGTCTGTTTTTGTATAGCAAAGTATTTTGAAAACAGAAGTGTGCTTTTATATCTATACAAATGGGTTCAGTGTCAACTGAATTCCAAGGGCTCCTGAGCTGTGTTTACTGTGCTGCAGAAGGTAACTGGTGCTAACCCACCGGTTACAGTGGCGGTATTTTGTGGCAGCTCCCATCCCCGGTGCTGTGTGGGTAAGAACGCCACCGTGAAGTCTAGCAGGGAAGAGTGTTTGAAAATAAATTACTAAATACTGCGTTTCAAAAACGTGAAGGGAGTTTTCCGGACAGAGTCATCTCGTCGTGAAGATTTGGAGCACTGACCCTCAAAGAGGAAAGAACCAAAATCGGTAGCTTTATTAATACAAATCCTATACTTTGTGTTGCTTAGGATCCAGAACCAGGCTTCGTGTTCAAAACGTTATCAACGTGTGAGCCAATATCCTCTGTCTTGGCAACAGATGAGCCCAAATATCAAACAGCACCAATTCCTTCTTGGAGAAAATTATCCGTTGCATAAAACGTAATGGGTAAGCAATAAAATTAGGCCAGTAATTCAGGCTGGCTTAAAAATGAGATAAAAGCCTAGCTGGCAATTTGATATTCAGCTGCCATACTGTCATTTTAATAAATACAGTCAATGAGCAGGAAAGGCACGTAAATACATTTTATAATTACAAGATGGTGGCTGGAGCTGGCCGGCTCGAACAAAGAAACACTCCGAGTGTTTCTGGTGATGTCTGAGGGCTCTTGTCTGGGTAACCTACTGTTTTTCTGTAAAAAGCAAAGAAAGCTGGATGTGTACTGGACGCTGGTGGGGATAATCATTGCGTGCTGCTAACACGACCGCTCTAATCCATGCGAGTCCCCGGTCGATGTAGCTGGCCGATGTCCCCAGCTACGGGGAGAGGCGTAATGCCTCCCTTCCCCACCTCCAGCTGCACTGCTGCGAGCACGAAACGCAGAGCTTTTGCTAAGCCAGAACCAAGTATAGGAAGTTACGGTCTTAGCAGATAGAGCTCTGGTTGCTGTCCTTGTTCGGTATCTGATCTTTGCTTTTTTAAATGTTTGGCAAGCAGTCCCGGCGACGCATGGCAGCGAGCTCCACCACTTGAGAAAGATGCTGCGTTAAAAATGTACAAACTTGCCTTTTCAAGTGTTGTCCACTCGCTTCTATTAATTGATGTTTCCTCCACAAAGTGAGGCTGTCTCTGGCTGTTTGTGTGGACCCCAAGGATGTTTTCTGATTCTCCTGCCCTTTCCCCCCCCCCCCCCCCCAAAATCTCCTCTCCTTTCACGCACCTGCCACCATATTCTCCCCT